CAATATTAGCACGGAGATAGGCAGCATTTGTTGAGTCTGTAGTTAAACATTGGAGACTAGAGTTTGTTTTAATCACCATTTTCTAAAGAAGCATATATATTTTTTTTTTTTTAGACCATCCAGTTGAGGGCCAGAAAATTCTGTCAGTAGAGCATCTAGCAGAGTGGTTTTATCATTCGGTAGCACATTGGAAAAACCTTCCCATTATCAGAAAGAAGTTTCCTTAATGAGCTATCAGAATTATTGTACCTCATCACACAACCTCCTGGATGGGTGGGCTGTTATGCTTGGCAAAGAAACACGGCCTTCTCTGGAAGAAACATGTAATCTTGATATAGGACCATGGAAAACAGCAGAACTCCATTGTTTGAACATTCTGGCTCAAGGGCTCTTTAGGAGATTGCTGTGTCTTCACACTCCTGACAAAACAGAAGCTGTTCTTATAGCTATGTCTTAACTCGGAGGTGTGCTGGTTCACAGTGCACATAATGGGTGTGCATTACACACTCGAAATCTTCCGACCTCTACGCAATACAGCGGCCCAAACACAATTAAGAGGTATACAGTTAGTCGATCACCAGGCTTGCTTGCTCTGGGGTTCACTGTTTCGTTTGTACAGGTAGAATGAGCAGAGAAGGTGGATATGCTGGGCCTAGAACATACAAAAGGAATGGCTTTTGGGGCATGTGGCCTGTGAAGTCACAAGAGACAGTGTGCCCAGAAGGGGCCAGCCCTGATTCTAACATTCTGGAGTCACTACCTTGAAATCTCAAATACTGGGTCCTTGCGTTTTGGTTGTATACTAGGGTCCTCACATTTCAACAGGATGTCCTGGTTCTGGGTGATCAGTTACTTCACTGACTGCTAGATGATCACAAATATTGACAAAACCAGAACACAGTGAGTGGGAGTATCCAGGGACAGACACTGTGAACTAAAGCACTATCAAAACTTAGCATTAGGTTATGATTTTAATATGCATTTCTAAGATGGGGAGATTTTCTTGGTTTTATGCAAGACCTTCTTGCCTCCCAAGTTCCTGTATTTACAAGTCAAGAAAATATTCACTGGGAGTGGGAAGAACTAGGGAGTGGATCCAGGCTATGTGAGAGAGCTGTGTTCTGTGTTATTTTGCGTCACGGGCAGCTTTGGCCTGCCAATCTGGCTCCGTTGCTCAGATTGCAATGTCAGGACTTTCTGTGGCCCCCTGCCAGATGAAGGGAGGCCTAGGCAGGTGCTTTGGCTTAGGATTCCTGCTGGGGTTTAACTTTTGACAGAGCCCACCTCTTTCATGTCCATGCCCAGGTGTTGCCCTCCTCGGGAGGCCCCCCAAAACTCACAGCTGCAGCGCTTTTCCATCTTCCTACCTGATGCCCCCAATTTCTCCTCATAAAACTTGCAAATTCAATGCGTAAGACTCAAAACATGATCAGACTTTGAAGAAAGGTGTGAGTGAATGAGTTGAAAGGCTTACCCTTAACCATCAAAGGTAAACCTTTAAGAGAAAATAAGTATGCCAGCTAACTCTTCACCTCTCATGTCCTGCTTGGGTCTCAGCAAATGGACATTAGTTCTCAGAATTCATCAGAACATTGCCCAGAAACACCCTGTGTTCCCACGTCTATAATCTGCAGATGTTTAAGATCCACTATTTCCATTTGAGCAGTGCTACATTAGGTGTTGTGTGTCCCAGCATACCCAGATACGGCAATATGTCCCCCATGGAAGGGGATGTGGACTGACTGGATGTTACTCATCTAAGGGGGATCTCTCTGTTCTCCAGGAACGGGACTGTGTTCATTTCCAGAGAGTAACTTTGTAGAGCTCTCTCTGTCAGTGTGTCATGCCATCCTGCACACCTCTCAAAGCACTAGAGAAATTGATATCGCCATTTCCAGTAACACTGAATATCCATTTCAAGCTGAGTGTGGTGGTGCACACCTTTAATCCTAGCACTTGAGAGGCAGAAGCAGGTGGATCTCTGCAAATCCAAGGCCTGCCTCATCCACATGGTGACTTCCAAGTCACCCAGGGCTACATAGTGGAACCTCATTTAAAAAAAGGGGGGGTGGCAGATGAATTAAAGGTCTATTTCAACTGTGTTTTGTTTGTATAAAAATCAGTTATTTGCTAAATGTATACTAACAAGAAACTTTTGAGGTTCAAAGCATAATATTTAGTCAGTGTAAAGTTGCCCTGTTTTCAGATCACGGTTGGAAATGGAACTCATTGGCTAAAGAGTATTTTGCTCATCAATTTAGCAGTGAGGAGTTACTATGGGGTAGAGCCATTGAAGCAGAATGCGAAGGTAATGAAATAAAAGAGTCTGTTTGAAGCATTCAGACCCAAATGCCCTTCTTTCCATTATTCTTCCTGAGGACTCTCAAAACTCGGCCTTTATTGTTTTTAAATCTTTGAGAAAATTTATGAATAATCTTAAAATTAAATTTGCTGGTATGAGAAAGGAATAGCATCATCACAGGGTTAAAATATTTTTACAGAAATATTGTCACTTGGTTCAGCCAAATTATATGCAGATGAATTTTTTTTCAATTATTCAAAGTAAAAAGAAAGCCTTTTTAGTCAGTTGAAACCCTGTGGAGTAAGTATAATCATCGAGTTTATTTTATTTTATTGCTAGGAGTTAGAGGATCACAATTTAATAAAAAATACCAAATTGTTCTCCCAGTGTCAAAGCTTGGTTTTGCTTTCTTTCCTTACCCAGTGAAGTCTCTGTGTTGCTGTGTTTTTGTGCCCTAGGAAAACGCTCCTGGTGCAGTCTTTGAAGTATCTAGAAAGTATTTCAGAATAGGAGAATGGCTAAATGATTGCCTCTGAGCTTCAGTCTGGTTCGGGGGTCCCATAATTTTACTGCTGTTCAGAAATGAGATAATTCTTGACAGTTCCCTGTGTACTGCGTGTTTTCTTTTCCTAGGTAGAAAGAATAGCTGGGGTGGCTTCCTGGGCAAGGCCAGGGTGGAGAAAGCTGGCATTTCCCAGGGTGCCTGGGAGGAGAGCAGTTGTGTTGTTTCCATGGACACAGCACTGCTTCACTTCCCCTCTAGGTGGTGACAAATATGCTGAGCCCCGTGAGGTGTGGGCTAATGGAAACTCGTTCCTATAAACTTCTGCCAGTTTTTGCCCTGCAGGCTTGAAGCAAGAATTTTACTTTCAAGATAAATTTTGCCACCTTACTTCAAAGACTTAATTAACTCTAATGGAATACGTTTGGGCTCATAGGATCATCAAAAAAAATAAGTTTATTATTTTTAATCATTAAAAATATCTCTGTATTCAGGAACCAACCCACTCAATCCCTTTTAAGGCATTTCGACCTGCCTTCTATCGCTGTTGAATGTGAACCCTCAGTGAGAACTCCCAGGCTTTCTGGGTCACTGTTATCAGCCGTCTGTTTGGACCTTGCGCTTCTTCACTAAATGGTCTGAGCTGCTAACCGTACCTAACAAGACTTTAACGTAAGATGTTCCCCACTTGAGTAGCAGAAACAGGGGAGAAGCGAGCTTCGACGAATGCGTGGTTTCATCTGGTTATCTTTGGGGTAGGAGGAAAGGAGCCGAGTTCTGAACAACTCGGGGCAGTGAAGTAACCTTTAGACGACAGCTGTAATGTGCAAAGACCATGCCAAGAACAACAGAGCACAGTGGAGTTCCTGTCCCTTCAAGAAGGACAGCTGAAACCGGGGTTGGATTTAACAACAAAACAAAACAAACAAAAATCCAGCCCAAGGTTCTGTTTTTGTTTTTCTTTTTAAGGGAAAATACAGTAATTCAATTCAGAAATTAAAAAGTACTTTCTATAGAAAAGTGCCAATCTTATCTCTGGACTCTTGGCTTCTTTTTACTGCTGAAGAAAGTATTTTTTATTAATTATTTCTATTAATTGAATCTTTATTAATTATTTTTATTAATTGAATCTTTTCTGTGTAGAAAAAAAACCCACTATATTCACTGAGTTAGAAAAAAAATCCTAAATTAGAATTAGTTTAATTAATACGAGACTTTGAAGAGCACAGAGGAATAGCCTCCTGCCTCCCAGGATTTAGTATCAGCTCTGAGGAAAGGATTTCCTTCTTTTTTGACAGTTGATTTCAGTGGCAGAAAATGTGACACGTAGGGGTGTGGACTGGCGAAGTTGCTTTTCCTCAAAAATGCTACCACAGGTTACAGCTAACGATGATGGATGATTGGGCCAGGAACTTCCAGGTAACTGCCAGATACAACATTTTGGAAGCAAAAGCAGAAGAATGGTATCAGTTAAGAAAAGTAATTCATTTCTTGCTTTGACTCTTGCCCAGAACAAACATAAAATGTACTACTTTTCTTCCTGGCGTTAGGGAAGGATTTTCCAATCCATCTCAAGCATGGCATTCCTTTATCGAGATTTTATTCAGGCTGTGTCTGCCCTGGAAAACTGACCTCTGAGAATTCCTCTCGTCCGTGCCTTCCCCACTTTCCTCCCGTTTAACACTTCTCTTGAGTAGACACCAAGCTTTGCTTTATATTGGTTAGGTTTTTCTGGAGATCACTCTAACACTAAGAATGAAAAAGTTTCAGATTTTCTTCCTTTTGGTCTCCTTCTTAAGAAAGATAACTTTTGGGGGTTATACCCATTGCTTCGAAAAGTTTCATGATTGGGTATCTATTAAAAATTTTTGTCAGGCAAAGGGACCTGAAGGAAGAACTACGTTTCTAATCTCCACAGAAGGCGAGGGAGATTTACAAAGTCCTTAAGAAAAACCTCTCGATTGCTGCTTAAAACACAAACACCATCTGTAAAATCCAGAAGCATCTCCCTTGATCTCAGGCTCCGAAGCCCCAGTGTCACAGGGGGTCACAAGGGTTAAGAGAAACAGAGAGGAGTCCACAAAGGCTGACAGTTCTGTTTTTCTACTTACGAGGACTGGGAGACAAGCACAGCTAGCAACGGTGCCGCTCCTCTAAGCAACCACCGTAATGACTTACAACTCTACCCACACTTAC